AACCATTATTGAATCCTTTCCACGCTGTGTTCTCGGTAACCCCAGTACAAAGTCCATGCTAACATCCATCCACGGTTGCTCTGGAATAGGCAACGGCATATACAGCCCATATGCATTCTCTTTACCCTTAGCTTTCTTGCAAATAGCACATCTCTCAATCACCTTGTGCACATCCCGTAACATGCTAGGCCAAAAGAAATGTTCTTTCAGCAACTCATAAGTCTTCTTCTCCCCAAAATGACCACTAAGACCACCACCATGAGCCTCTCGCACAAGCAACTCCCGTAATGAACCTGAAGGAATACACATTCTGCCCATTTTGAACAAGTAACCTTCATGCATAAAGAACCCATCACAAGCTCCCTTTGCACATTCGGTAACCACATTAGCAAAGTAGGAATCATTAGCGTATTGATCCTTCACTTGTTCAAAACCCATCAGCCTTGCATTCAACATAGAGATCAGTGCATACCTCCTAGAAAGAGCATCAGCAACCACATTAACTTGCCCTTTCTTGTACTTTATGACATAAGGAAATGACTCCATAAACTCCACCCATTTAGCATGTCTTCGATTCAGCTTGCTTTGCCCCTTAAGATACTTCAAGGATTCATGATCAGTATGAATAACGAATTCTTTTGGCAACAAGTAGTGCTGCCATACCTCCAGAGCTCGAATCAAAGCATAGAACTCCTTGTCATAAATAGAGTAGTTCAAACGTGCTCCATTTAACTTTTCACTGAAGAATGCAATCGGCCTCTTTTCTTGCATCAAAACAGCCCCAATTCCAACTCCGGAAGCATCACACTCTATTTCAAATGTTTTAGCAAAGTCTGGAAGTGCTAAAACTGGAGCAGTACACAACTTTTCTTTAATTAGCTCAAAAGCTTTCTGAGCATCTGCACTCCATCTAAACTCGTTTCCTTTTTTCAAGCATTCTGTCATAGGAGCAACAATAGAGCTGAAATCTTTCACAAATCGCCTGTAGAAAGAAGCTAAACCATGAAAACTCCTCACATCAGCGATACTAGCAGGTTTTGGCCAGTCCCGAATTGCCTCAATTTTCTCCTCATCAACCTTAACTCCCTTGCTAGAGATAATATATCCAAGAAACACGACACTTTCTTTACAGAAGTAACACTTTGTGAGTTTCCCATACAACTTAGAATCTCGCAAAGTTTCAAACACAACTCTAAGATGCTTCACATGATCATCAAAGGTCTTGCTATACACTAGGATATCGTCAAAATATACTACAACAAACAGCCCAATATACTTCCTCAAAACATGATTCATAAGCCTCATAAATGTACTAGGCGCATTAGATAACCCAAACGGCATTACCATCCATTCATATAACCCCTGTTTAGTTTTAAATGCTGTTTTCCATTCATCTCCCTCTTTCATTCTAATTTGGTGATAACCACTCATCAAATCGACTTTAGAAAACAATGCAGCACCATGCAACTCATCAAGCAAATCATCAAGTCTGGGTATAGGAAATCGATACTTAACTGTTATTTTGTTGATAGCACGGCTGTCCATACACATCCTCATGGTACCATCTTTCTTTGGTACAAGCAAAGTAGGTACGGAACATGGACTAAGTGATTCTCGAACATAGCCCTTCTCTACAAGCTCACCAACCTGCCTTTGAATCTCTTTTGCTTCCGCTGGATTACATCTGTATGCTGGTCTATTAGGAAGTGAAGCTCCCGGCACCAAATCAATTTGATGCTCAATTCCACGAATAGGCGGTAACCCTTTAGGTAATTCATCTGGAAACACATCTTTAAATTCTTCTAGCAATTCCTTAATCTGTGTTGGTAAGTCCAGTCCTTCTACTTGTAGCAATTGCTTTGCCCAGATCATGAAAACAACCCCCGTCGAAGCTAATGCCTGTTTGATATCGCCTTTTTTGGCTAACAACAGCCCCTTACGTGATTGCACCTCCTTTTGTTGGCTTCGTAACTGATCCTCTCTAACCTGTTGAGAACTCAATGGTAACAAGTTCACCTTCTTTCCATTCAGCATGAAAGAATAAGTGTTCTTTCGTCCATTGTAGGTCACATCCTTATCAAACTGCCATGGACGACCCAGTAACAAATGGCTAGCTGACATCGGCGCAACGTCACACAAAACCTCGTCATGATAGGTTTTAATGGAAAAGGGCACAAGAACTTGCTTTGTCACCCGAATCTCCCCATTCTCATTCAGCCATCGCAAACTATACGGTCTGGGATGTGGAATGGTAGTTAAGCCCAATTTCTCCACCAAGGTAGTTGACGCAACATTAGTGCAACTTCCATTATCAATGATCATCCCACACACCTTATCTCGAATCTGACATCGAGTATGAAAGATGTTCTCACGTTGCTCAGCACTAACATCAACTTGTGCATTTAGAACCCGTTGCACAACCAACAAATCTCCCTTCACTGGTTCGAAATCCTCTTCCTGTTCCATTTGTGCCTCATCTTCATCTTCAGTTTCAGCCTCATCTCCACTGATCAGCTCTCCATGATCCCCATGCAATATCATTACCCTTTTATTTGGACATTCTGAAGCAATGTGCCCATGTCCTAAGCACTTGAAGCACTTGATGTCTCGTGACCTCCTTGGATGTGGAGGTTCTGTCACCTTCTCCTTTCCCTTTAAAGAATCAGAACTGGTATTCCCCTTGCTGACCTCCACCTTCTCATCTCGTTTAGGTGTGCTCCATGTTCGAGTAGGCGTAGATCTGTCCCTTGTCGTACTTGACGTAGTTACACTAGTTCGGACACCTCCTCGTTTCTGCTGCCTCTCTACACGACTTGCAAGCTTTATAACATCCTCAAGGAAGATGTACGGTTGCAATTCAACCACATTAGCTATATCCTTCCTCAACCCTCCAAGAAATCTAGCTATTGTTTGTTCTTGGGGTTCCATCAATTCACATCGAATCTGTAGCAACTCAAACTCTTTCACATACTCTTCCACGCTTAAAGATCCTTGTCGCAAAGTCTGAAGTCTGATGTATAGCTCTTGTTTATAGTAATCAGGAACAAATCTCTTCTTCATCACTCTTTTCATAGTTGCCCACGTTCTAATCTCCTCTTCTCCATCCCTTCTCCTCTGAATCTTTAAGTTTTCCCACCATAAAAGAGCATAATCTGTAAACTCAAGTGCTGCCACCTTGCACTTCCTTTCTTCAGAATATTCATACCATTCGAACACCTTTTCAACCTTCTGAATCCATTCCAAGTATTCCTCAGGTGAACTACTTCCTCGAAACGGTGGAATCTTAAGTTTGAGACCACTAGGAGGATTATTATTCTGTCTTCTTGGTCTGCCCCTGTCGTCGGCCTCATCATCCCCATTTGGATCTCCATCAGCTTCTACAAAATCATTTCGTGGCACCCTAAGTGCTTGCCTCTGCTGGGGTTGCAAATTATTTCTTTGCATCATTTGCATAAGGGTATGCAACTGTTCACGAATTCCAGTCATTTCATCCCGAATCTCAGCATGAGATCGTTGTAAGCCCATAACCTGTGCCTGTTCTAAACTTAACCCTCTTGGCAAATCTTCTTTATCTCCAGCCATAACTAAGTTTATCAATTGCAATTCCAGCAAGCCTTTCTTCTGTTTCTAGCTCTTGCCTTAGATCGCAACTGATGCTCTGATACCAGATGTTGTGCCGTGAATGATTCAAAAATCGGCAACAATGAATCTGACGAAAATGGATGAAGGATGGGTCTGGTTGTATTGTCTTTCTTCTGGTGTTTAGGCTAGATTATAGTATTTTTAAGGTAAATAAAAATGGAGGATAAACTAGAGTGATACTTTGATAAGTCGATCTGGACGCCACAAAGATCAATCTAGGATTTTGACGCCACACTCTTTGTGATTGAAGAGTGATAAGTCAGGTAGGGTTCTTCACAAATCAATTTGGAAGAATAACTCTTAATTCTCGGAATTAAGTTCAAATATTGGCCAAAAGTTGTTTATTACATATTCTGATGCCATATTTATAATGGAACATCCCTCCACACTTAGGAAAATTCAACATGACAGAAATCAAGCCCAAAACTTGGACTTTGACAAAGTAACCAGACAAATTACACTAGCACACATTTTCTGACTTTAATTGAAACATAAACAGACCGAATTTAAAATGGCTATAACTTCTTGCACAAAAGTCCAATGCAATCATGGTTGGACAATCTGGAAAGATCACGTTCTGAACTTGAAATCCACCTAGATTAGTCTTGTTTTCACATGCAATGGATGACTTCAAATTCGGGTTCAAATTTATCTACTGTTCTGACGTAAACAGCATCAATTTCTTAACTTATTTGCATTATCAACCCAAATTCAAGTAGTCCAGCATCAAAAGAACCATTAAGGGCTCTTCCCATCTTTAAGCTCCAATTGTAGGCAAATAAGCACCCTTGAACCAATTTGAAACTGATTGCCAAATTTTAACTCCGACGCAGCTTCAATCATTCCAATCTGACTCGTCAAGGTCCTTTGTAGTTGTTTCGCTCTCGCTCTTGTCATTGGACCATCTGAATCCTCTTGCATATTTGATTTACCTTTACGAGATGGATTATCATTCCCATGATGCACATCATTGAGGCTTCAGATGTTGTTGGCTGCCGAGTTTGGACTGATGTTGTTGATAGCTCCTGCCTTGGACCGAGGCTTCCAAATCTTCATCATTGCACATCGTGAGGCCGAAAAAATTCTGGACTATAAGAAGAGTTCTAGATGATGTTCTAAATATTACATCCTATGAGCACGTGGATGCAGTGTGTGCATCAACGGTAAGAAATAATGATCCCACGTGTCCATGGTAGCAAGGCTTCTGCTGGTTTTCCTGACTAAGTTCGAACTGAACTAGTAAAACGCAACCACAAATGCCCCCTAATTAGTCCTCTCCCTCAACTCTTAATGGTTGCACCCTTTCTTCAAGAATAACGCTTGAGAACTTGAAATAAACTTCTAAAAAGCAATTTTTAATCAATGACATGTGACTAGAAATTTGCCAATGGTCAAATGTTAGTGCCAACATCTCTAGCACAACCCTTTCTTAAATATATTTAAAATTTAATGTGAGTGGCCAATTGTAAATGACAATGTACGAGTACAGGACCTCCACTGACTCTTTCCTTCAAATAGGGCTTTTATATTGTTTTGGTTGAACAGAAAATTTGGTTAAAATTCTCTGTAACTACCACTTACGATTCTTGAGAAAAATAACAGGTAATGATTAGATTAACCATCATGTATCATGTATAGACATTCTTCAAAGTTTGCTGTTAATGTTGATGGGACAAATACACAGAATAGGAGCATCACTAACACATCATGAACTACTTACTATACCATGTCCTCGAGTAATTATGGGGGGGTTCAAGTATGCGTAGAGATGGATATTGTGTTTAAAAATCTATGAAAAGGAAACGATAAATCAATGTTGATATCAGCTGGTATCAGCTGCTAACCTGAATTCCAGCCAGCTCAAGTTTAAATCCCTTGGCCAAAAGATCATCAAATGCCTGTCCCGTATCAAATGTGATAAATCCGAACCCACGAGAACGATTGGTGGAGTGGTCCCGCATGATCTGATGTTCTGTAACCTCTCCGGATTGTGTAAAGAATTCCTTGAAATCATCTGTCCATTACAATATATAAATCAAATGCCCAAACAGTCAAGCAATGCCTACAGTAATGGAAGGTAACCATGTCCAACTGCTTAGAGTGTGTTTGGGATGCACCGCTTTTATAAAAATTTTGAATTTTTTTTTGTTTAAAATGATTTTTTTATATATATTAATATCAAAAATAATTTTTTAAAAAATAAAAAAAATTTATTCTAATGTATTTTTATGTAAAAAAAAAAACACTTTAAACCATTATGCTACTCCAATCTACCTTCAGTCACCACCGCAGGTGTTCCACCTACAAATATCTTCTTGGTTTAAAATCCTTAGACCCAACAGCTCCCTTTGGTATTGTTCGCTTGATTTCAACCTAAAGAATCCGAAAACCACAACAAAGATCAACAAATCCAACCAAGTTATCAAGTTAAATTTAAAGGATTTTTTTTTGGAGGGGGGGGGGGGGGGGGAGAAGAAGAGAAAAGGATGATGTCGGTCTTTAAATCCAACAGCAAAATCCTTCTTGTTTTCCATTGATAGTATAAGTATCTTGAATGACTTGATCAACAGCAGATGGATCTGAATAGGTCACAAAGCCAAATCCACGAGGCTGCCCTGTTTTCCGGTCCTTCATTATCACAGAATCTGTAATTTCACCATATTCACCAAATGCTTGATGAACTGTGCTGCCTTAACAAATATAGCAAAAAGAATAAACACTATTTTTGTTAGAAAAAAGAAAAAGAAAAAGGGACTCCATTAGTGAATTGGAACATGACGAAGAAACTAACCAGTAGTAGTCTCTCTCTTGCTAAACCTCCAATGAAAATCTTTCTGCAACACATGTTAAAGTGTAAAATCCAATCAAACTTCACTGCTAAATCTTTTCCAAAAGGTTCCTATATACCATCTCAAAGAACATATAAGCACATTCCTACGACGACCAGAATGGATCCTTTTCTTTTCTTTTTTATTACCATTTTATAATAAGAAGATTACTAGAACAAATGGGCTTAATTATTAAGCCAAGCCAAGCCAAACTAAACCAAATCCTACTAGTTTGCCATTCATTATATATATAATGTAAGGGGCTCTCTCATCTATGAAATTCAAGGAAGCAATTAATAAAAGAACACAACACCACTTAAGAGCAATTGAACTAATTTTTTTTTTTTTTAAATAAACACTTTAATTCCCTGTTTGGTTCCTGTGAAAGACACAGAGAAATTATAAAAGAAATTTATTTACTTTCAAGCCCAACTAAATAGGCCTCAATTACAGTGTTATCAAGCTAAAAGTTTAACATATACAGATTATTTTCTATGGGAAAAAAAAAACACAGATTACCCAGTGCTAGCTCCATCTCCAGATAGAGGTCGAGTGAATTTAGAGTTGTTAGGTTCATCCTCGTGATTGGGTTCGTTATGGTGTCGGTCCATTGCTGCTTGAAGCTTTAACAAACGTCATCAATGGCTTCTCTTTCTATTATTTCTTTTTAATTTTCCAAAAAGAATGACAACGAAGATGGAGAAAGGAAGCCATGGATAGGCTGGGTTTATTGCGCTTTAGTACTTTTTTCCCCTTATTTTTTTACCTTCAAACCCCTGCCCTTAAATAAAGAGTGTTTCTATTTTATTTTTATTTTTATAGTTTTTTTTAAAAAAACTATGTGTGCGTTGTGGTTCTACACTATTTTTACTGTGGATTATAACGATTTTAGGCTTATTAATTTGGAAGGCTTGGTTATTCTGGAAGTTTATTTTGGGGTTTTTATGTAGTTTATTTATTTTTATTTTCATTTTCTTATATCTTGCCACAGCTTCTCTAAACCAAAAGGGCTTGCAGGAGGAGAAACGGAGGCGGCAAAAAGACCGAGCAGAGGAGAAACAAAGGAGATGGCAGCGAATAAGAAAAGGTTTCACGAGCCAACAGAGTCACCCTATCAACCACGCAACCCATGTTCTCTCTCTTTGAGGAACACGCCACTGCAAAAAGAGAAATGAAGGAGGCTAAAAGACTGAGGAGAGGGAGACGAAGGAGATCGCAGCGAATAAGAAGAGGATTCAAGGGCCAATGGAACCACCCTCCCACCATCTACATCATACCACCAACCAGGCACACAACCCTTGTTCTCTTTCTTTGAAGATCCTGACACGCCGCCTGGGCACCAACAACATTTCTACTTGACAACGCTGAACTAGACCCCAATCATCAATTAATCTTTCCTTTTTTTTGGACTGGTTTTTTAATTTAACTCCAACATTGCAGTGTTGCTTGACTTTTGATTGTGGCTCTTTAATTTTCTCTTTAACTTAAGATTTGTACACTTCAGTTTAGTTTTTTTCTTAGGTTTTGAGCTGTGCATTCTTTTGTTATAGACCTCAAATCTTCTTACTGGGATGTGGTTTTTCAGGGCTGTTGGAGATTGGATTATTGAACTGGAGTGCACAAAGAGAATTAGAAAAAAAATAGCTTTCACTGCTGCTGTGTAAGTTTGTCTTGCTGCTTCTATATTTATGTGTTCTGGGCTTTCTTTGTTAGTTATTTGTTTGCCTCATTTCAGTTTATGAGCCTTTAAGTACTTGAATCTGGGTCTTGAGGATAACTGTTAAAGTTGCCAACTTTAAACAAAATTTGTGTAAGGGTCTTTGATGTGTCTTGCGTATGCAATTTTTTGTTTTGTTTTTTTTGTTTTATGTTTGTTACTACTTATTCCTAATTATTTTATATTTTGTTTAATGTATGGTTGATGGTGCGGTCTTGGGTCTTACCCTGCACCATTAAGCTCTTGGAAAGTATGTTCTGTTATTTCAACTTCCATGATGATTACGATGACTGTTAGAGGCTTCTTGCAGCTAATTTAGTCACTGTTGTCTTGGTTAAACTTTTTTTTCTTGTTGTTAATGTATGCACGTGAACAGCTTATATGGTTGAAGTCGTTGAATTAGGTGAGCTGTTTGATTCTTTTACAGTAAAGGATTGATCAAAGACTTGGAATGCTTGCTGCTGCTGCTGGAATTTTAGTTCTTTGTTCTACGTGCAGGAGGGATGGTATATTTTTATTGTGTTTTTTGATAATTGATTTTTAAAAAATTATTTTTAAAATTTTTTTAATTTTTTTTATTATTTAAAAAATTGATTAACAAAATACTTTTCAGTTAAA